TTCTGATGTTGACTCTTTTTTTATGTATCTTATCATTTTTAAACCAAAATTAGTTAACTTCTTTACTCAATTTTTATCACTTTAATATGAAACTTGTTCATACATATTTTTTGATAAAAACTGAGTAAAGAGGGGCAACTGTGAACACTAAAATTTTGATTTAAATTTTTATTATTATTTTTTAAATAAAAATAAAAATGAAAAAATAAAAAATAAAAAAAATTGAATTTTAATATTACAAAAGAAGAATGGAATCAAAAGGTTTAAAAAAAAAAAACAAAAATTTGTCTTAATAAAATAGAAAAATTTCAGAATTAATTTTTAAAAGGAAAATAGAATATGACAAATAATTAAATTCTTGAACCAATGTTACTTTATACATAAAAAAGGAAAAATTCAGAATTTTGGGCCTTTTGGTGAAAACCCTAACAATAAAAGGAAAAAAGGACCATGGAGCAGAAGGAGACATGAGAGGAGGCTAAAAATTTTTTGAGAGGAGGCATTCTAAAACGGGGAGAGAAAAAGAGAAAATAGAGAGAAAGAAAGGTTAGTGGAAAGGAGGAAGAACAAGAGGTAAGCAAAAATTTTCAAGAACATCAAGTAAGCTTCATCATACATTTTACACATTTTTCTTCTTTATATATATTTATATTTTGAATAAACATTTCCTATATCAAATCAATCTCAAATGATAAAAAAATATTTTAAACCACCATTTCAAATATCCATGTCTCACCACCTCTCCACCCATTCCTCCATCTATTATCATCCACAAACACAAAACTCACCATAAAAAAAAACTCTTTCCCTACATTGTCTCATTCCTCTTCCTTTTACTCTCAATAACCTTCACCACTCAAAACCATGGCCTCCATTAACCTCACCTCCACCCTTTCATAACCTTTTTTTTGTTTTTCTTGGAGAAAAGCACACCCCTAACCCTAAAGTCCTTCCATCTCAAATCTGAAAATTTAAAATTTGAGACCATTTTATCCTTTTTTTTATTTTTTTATTATTTTTTTGTCCAAATTTTGTTATTTATTTTATTTTTATCATTATTTAGTTCAACATATAATTTATTGTTTTAGTTTTATTTATTTATTCATCATCATTATTATTTGTTATTATGATAATTATTAATTTATTTAATGAATGAGTTTTTATTATTTATTTTATTTTTTTATGTTAACTTTGTTTAAATTATTTTATTTTATTTTATTTATTTAAAATCTCTTGATACCGTTTACTTTACAATATCCTATATGAGTTGATTTTTTTTAAATTAGTTCCTTTTTTATATTTCATTATTTATATCTTCTTTTTTAGGATCGTTATCTTTTATTTTATTTATTGTATATTTGTATCATATTAATGCGATTTAATTTTATATTTATGATTATTTTATTTTATATTGTGAATACTAAATTACTTATTTTTTTTTATAATTAATTAATAAATAATAATATAATTGTATCAATTTATAATACTAACGTATAGCTTCTCTATCGTCATGTATTATAAATTGATAAAGTCTATGTGTACCTACGTTACCAAGACTTTATGCAATATTAACTTATCACATATTGTCATTAATTAATTAGTTAATCACTTTAATAATAACGCAAGATGTATTTCTCTTCTAAATACTAATTTACAAATCAATCAACTAATTTAAATCTAAATTATTTTATTAAGAAATAATTTATAATGCTAATGTGTAGCGACTCTACCTTTATGCGTTATAAATTGTCAAAATCTATGTGTAACAACGTTACCTTAGGTTTTATATAATATAAATCTATCAAATAAAATTTTTAATGTTTTTTATTAAATGAGTATCTTCTTTAATCAATTCAAATAAAATTTTTATTTTATTTTTTTAAGTCATGTTTCAAATTTTGATAAATTAAATTACTATAATTTATTCATTTTATAAATTTTTATAATATCGATGTGTAATTTACATTGCCTTCGATAGTCTAATAAATTATAAGAAGTTTATGTATAGCTTACGCTATCTTAAATTTCTTTCAATATTAATCATAATCAAAATTAAAATTCAAATACTCCATTTACGAATAAAATATTTCTTAATGATTTGCAGTATAGTTGTGTGATCTTCCTTCACTTTCTGTATTGTTTTTTCGTAGGGTACATGTATAATTGCATTATCTTGTATCCTAAACATTATAATTTTTTTGAAAAATGATTTTAATTCTAAAATAAATTTTTCTTTTACTAAACTTAATTATAATCAACTAATTTCATAATTTTTAGATAGAACTACGTGGCTTTGAGTTCCCCATTGCATCCGGGGATACGTAGGAGCGGGAACCGTACCCGTCAAGTCAAAATATTTTTTAAAATAACCCGAATAATATTTCAATAAATAATATTTCTTCTTCTAAAATAAAATAATTAATGTTTAGGGGTTAAATAAATATTTTTCAAAATTAGAATAATTTTGTACAATTAATTTTAGGTAACCGTTTTTTAAACGGACGTTGTAGGGTGCTAATACTTTCCCTACACGTAAATGACTTCCGAACTCATTTTTTGGTTTCAAAGATCGTATTATATTTAAGTTTTTCCAAGGTTTTTCTTAAAAATAAACTTTGGTGGCGACTCCTCTGATATTTTGGAACAAGTTTGTCATTCGTCGTACCGTTGCGATCGCCCGGTTGCGACAATCACTTATTATCATAATTATTGTGTATACAATGTGTATTTTATACTAAAATTATTAAGTCCAATCTCTTTAAGTTCTAACTCTAACTTTTACTATTGTCTTCTTATTCTTTGCTAAAAGCATATAGTGTTTTCCTTGTAATTTTAATATTTTTCAATTTTCAATGCATGTTCATAACAGATATTGCATCCAAAATCTAATTCACAACTTAGGCTTACTCAAAGCCCTAGCCAACAATCTTATCACATACTAATAGTTAATAAATTCTTTATAAAATGACTCTAAAGGTATAATTTGTAATTTATTAAAAAAATATGATTTTTTTTTTACCGTGAATGACTTCAATAAATTAAGTGAAAAAACAAATATTATTACACATATAGATACATATACAATGAAATTATATTTTTTAAATATTAGAGTGATTCCAAAAGCTATGTGTAACTTGTGTAAGAAAATTTGTTAAGTCAGAATCATTTTCTCATTTTCTTCCATAAAGATTATTTTTCTTATAAGCATTATATCTTGATTAGAAAATCAACAGAAACCTTACTATTTAAAATTTTAAATATTTCTTTGAAAGAAGTAGATGCCAAAATAAGGAAGAGAAGGCAAGATTCACTAACCAAGTTGTTTGCATAAAATATTTCTCATCAAAATTTTCCAAGCCCTTTGTGGCATCAAATTTCATGACTAAATTGTAACAAGCAATATCTAATATCAAAATTAAAAAAGCTGAAGTATACTTACATGACCAAGTATGTTCATTAATAACAACCAATTTATTATCAACAAAACAAATTCATGTCATTAACATTTAAAATCATTTAAGATATCAAAACACAACCAAAGTACAAACAAAATAAAGACCCACCAAAACACTAAAAGTGTATTTAGATGAGATATTTTAAGTGAGTAATTCATTTTTTAAAAGAATTTACAATTCTATGGGTTAAAATTTATAGTTTGGATATTAAATTTTAAAAAATTTAAAATTCTAAGAATTTTAAAGGAGATTTTTAATATAATAAAATCAAAGAATTATAAGACCTAACAAAATAGTGAAAATTTGAAATTAGTTCTTTTATTTATTGTGTTTCATTTATATTTTTATTTAGTTATGATTGTCAAGCCTGTAATTTATTATTGAGTGATCTGTAATATTTTGTACTTCTTAAATATTAATTGAAAGATTATTTGGTATTAGAATAGATTTATATAGAGTTTGAAATTATTTTTTTAAAAAAAGTGAACAGTAAATCTGATGTGAACAATAAGGCGGTGAACAGTAACAAATTTTTTTTTGAATTTTGCCTATAAATAGAGGGCCTTTCATGAAAATTTTATTTCTTTACACTTCTCAAAGATTCTAGAAAGATTCAAGGTCATATATCACAATTTTCTCTCATACTAAACCCTCATAAATTTAAATTTCTCATCAGATCTGAGATTATACGTCTATTTTGAAGGATCTGAAGTAAGTTTCTAGAAGTTTGAAGTTATATTTACCGTTTGTTTCTCTTCTTTTTCTTTTTCTTATAGATAGTTGATAATATCTTAGGAAAAACTTTGTTGTAGAACTAAATCTTCGATGAATTTTATCGTAGAACAAGTAATATTTGGTAGATTTGATGTGAATCGCTATTTGACCTTCCATCTCTTTTCCTAAAACTCCTCTTTTTAAATAACCCTAAGAGACTCTACTATCAACATATGGCTAAGCATGCTTTGTTAGAATGTTTTTATAAATTATTATAGGTTACAATCAAATGTAATTTTTTTTTATTTAAAATGAATTAATGTTATGATTCATTTGAAGATACTTAATACCACTAATAATATGATTAATTGTTAATAAATTTTGGACACTTAATATTGATCTACTTAAAAAAAAGTGTAAGACTTAACCTAAAAGCCATAATAAAAAGGAATTAGGATTAATATTTGATTAAATCTCCTTTATAGTATGTGAATATTATGTAATTAACTTCACAATTTACCTTGAGAGTTATACCTAGGGTATATGACTTACACATAAAATTCAAAAATCAAATATAACGACTACATTTTCGACAAGTAATCTTAAAATCCTATTATAAATTATTATTAGTATTTTTATTTATCTTTAATATTATAATTTCATCTTGTTTGATTACTTTTTTATTTACATTTGCTACCAGAGCCTAAACTATATATGATTTTGAACCCATCTATTTTGTTAGTGCTTAACATTAAGTTTTAGAAATGGCAGAAAATATCATTAACCTGACCATGGATACATAAACAACTTCATAGACCCTGCCCTCTACTCTCTGCTAGCTAGCGATCCAGACTACACACGCTCAAAGCATCTTTTATTCGTTTTACCAAGTAAAAAAAGAAAGGTCCATCGGAATCGGTAGGGTAGAGGGAGAGGTTGCTGACACACACTCCAACTTGTTTATTTCTTCATTTTCTACACTCTTCCTTTCTGCCACTCCAATCATCATTCTAATTGTTCCCCCTCTCCCTTACTTTTTTTTCTTTTCTTTTTTTGTTTCTGGTATGCCACGAACGTTGCTCTGCGTTTTGCTGCAAAACCCTAACCCTCGAGCAGCGTCTTTCATTCCATCATGCACTCTCTGCTCCTTGTCATTTAGGACTCTTTAAGCCCGTAATCACCGTAGTTCAGGCATTTATTTATTGTATTTTTCTCCTTAGTTGTTGCTACCATTCTTTCTTGGTTGTTGCTACCATTCTTTCTTGGTGTTCATTTTCCCCATTTCCTTACGTATTGGAGCGATGTGTTGGTGATTTTGTAATGAGAGCGTCAGAAAATTGCCGTTGCCATTAGAAATGATCTCTCGGGTGCATGTTTGGTGCTAATTAATTAATTAATTTTATGATTTTTTTCTCAAGATAAGAAAAGATAATTGGGTTAACTGTTTTGTTTTTCTGTTTATAATCACATCTGTTTGACACTTAAATTAGCAATTTAGTTTGAAGAATTAAGCTAGCTTAATTTGCTGGACTAGTTTCTTTTTTTAACACTTGACTTAACCTTTGTAACTGAACCGAACTTACTCTTGTACTAAAATGAAATGTTCATATATAACATGGCTGGAAGATGTATAGGCATGCTATACTAGGGATTTGAGATTGCCACCTTTTAATTTTTCAATGATTTTTGGAAAAAAAAGTATAATAATAAATTTTTTATTGAATATGAAAATGATAGATATTTTGCATTCAATTTCTTGCTTATAATAACTATGTAAGATTTCTGGATATTCTCATTATTTTGGGTTCACTCTGTAATATTTGTGGGATCTCGATATGATGATGTTGGGTGTTGTCGATTGATGAGCATTGCATTCCTATATCAAAATATGATGAAGGCAAGCGTTGTAGTTACATATCTATGATGTATGAATCCCTTTTCCTTCATGCTTGTTTTAAAATGCATGTCTGCATACCATTTACGGATCGTGTCTAGGCTTCTAAATATTGTCTGGTGACATGAGTTCCTTTTCAACCTCAAGCTGTGCCTAAAGTCTTGTGTGTACTAAACATGTAGTTTATGTGTTATTGTTTGAATCAGCTTGCTCTTTTTAGTTGCTTTTTGTTGCATTATTGTTTCATGATTCATCATGTTAACCCAATTTTATAATTTACTCTGATTATAGGTTTAAATATGGGTCCTACAGAAATTGTGGATTTATCTAGTGATGATGAAAGTGAAAAAGGTGGTTTCAAACCTGTTAAGTTGGAGGCAGATTTTATTATGGATTCAGAGCAACATAATGAGACTCACAAAGGTCAACTAGCCAAGCGGAAGAGATCTCGAAGTCATGCTACTGGACCAGATTCTGAAGAAAATATAAGTTCTACTGGTCCAAGTACAGGTCATAGTAACTCCAGTGTGTTGGAGCAGGGATTGTCGCCAATTGATGACACGGGCATTTCATACGCCTCACCCATATGTGCAGCACCCATTTGTAGGCAGTTTTGGAAAGCTGGAAACTATGATGACAGGCTTGGTTCTAAAGTCACAGTCCAAAGTAATCCAATCTATTCATATATATGTGTGTATTGTGAAATTAATATAACTTAATAAATTGTTTCTATGGTTGTAAATGCCCTACACAATGTTCTATAAACAAGGTTTTTTATTCCTTTTTTGATAATAAACATGTTTATATAAATACATCTTGAATGTTAAAAGATTTTTCTTCTCACCTGTCTTTTGAAAAGTTTATAGTTTTCAGATCTCACACGCTAGATACTCAGCTTGTAGCCTGTAGGGACAAAGAATTTTGTCCATTCTGGACTTCTTATCTCTGTAATTCTTCTTGGGTTGCAGATGCTAAAAACTATCTACATGTACACCCCATGTTCCTTCACTCAAATGCCACATCACATAAGTGGGCATTTGGTGGTATGTTCTTATCATCTATATAATCTTGCCTCTTCTTTATGACTACTTTAATTGACTGTCATTGTGATAATTTTCATGAGATGATCTTGTTCTTTGTTTCTGTTTGCAGCCGTAGCTGAGCTTCTGGATAATGCAGTTGATGAGGTGATTATTTCAGATTTTGAAGTACATGATTTTTAAAATATAATATGAGACTGCCATTTTATTTCTTTATCTGCAGCATTCTAAGCTATTCTATTACCAACTATACATGGTCATAAAACATTAATGTCTATTTTCACTACTGTTTTATTCTCTTTCCATCTTTGAAGCCATGAATTCATATTTTACTTTTGATTTTTGTTCCTATTTTGTATTGCATTGTTGACATTTGTTCTTAGGATAGATCCAAAATGGGGCTACATTTGTCATTGTAGATAAAACTTCAAATCCAAGGGATGGAAGTCCAGCATTGTTGATTCAAGGTATAGTGATTCTGGAACTCATAAATATTGGTAGTTGATAGTTGTTGTTGTAAATTCCTAGCCTGAATCTTGTATGGGAACATATTTGCACTGTATACAATGATTCAATATTTTTATTGGTATTGACACTTGGGAATCAGATGATGGTGGTGGAATGGATCCAGAGGCAATGCGTCGTTGCATGAGTTTTGGATTTTCAGATAAGAAGTCACAGTTTGCTATTGGACGGTGTATGGATTGTGACTTTCTTCTTCTATCATTTTGGTATTCCCTTTCATATTTATATTTTAATTTGGTGTTCCAGATGGAAATGGCTTCAAAACCAGTAGTATGAGGCTTGGTGCAGATGTCATAGTGTTCAGTCGCCATTTGAATAATCGGTATGGGTCAACATTTGAATATATGACTGGGTACTGAAGTTGGTTAAAGCAATGAGTCTCCTGCTGTATTGACAATCACTGTTTTATCCTCTTAGGTGTGATTATTAAATTATATTCTGAAGGCCATATCCACTCAAACGTATTTATTTTGTTAATGTTAATTTGGAACTTAATTTTTACATTGATTTTCTGATAGGAATAACTGAATAACTTCCCATTTCTTTTTAATAGCCTTGGAGAAATGTGATAGAACCAATGTTATCAATGGTGGATGGCGGGTCATGATGAAAACCCAGAAAATTACCATAAAGCTGATACCTTTTTATACATTATAGTTTCTAGCAACTGTTGCTCCCTTTATTCACATGACAGTAATGTAGGGAGGTTTTCTGACAAGCCAACAATATGTGAAGTTATTGGGGAAAAGTGAAATTGTTATTCTTTTTTGTGTTCCTTACTTTTGTATCTTGATCAGGATTTTGACTCAAAGTATTGGACTTCTGTCATATACGTATTTGACACGAACACATCTTGACAGAATAGTAGTGCCCATGGTAAGTGGCGTCTCTCTTTTTTAACTACATGAAAGTTTTATGGTTTAAATGCTACTTCTCCGGATATTGTCACCCAACTTTGTGCAGTGACTTCAATTGCTACTTTTCTTCTCTGCTAATTTGATTCCATAAAACTTGAAATTCTTACTGGTATGGTGGTTCTAGAGAATTGATAATAGGCAATTATCATGTGATTAGTTTTCCTTCTCTTTTGATTGGCAGTAGATTTCTGCATTTCTTTTTGTTAATTTTTATATTATCAACATATCAATGTTGTGCTAGATATCTTAGCATATCTTCATGACATGGTATTAAACCCTTGAAGACCAAGTGGTTAAGAATTTGATCCTTGATGCCCTCATTCTTCTAAATGAAGTTGAATTTTAGCACAATAAGATGGTGGGCCTGGTGGATTGCTCATGGCTTCATGCTTCTAGCCCAAATATGTGAGGCAGCATGTTAGATATATGAACCATTATGAGCCTTCACTTAACAGCTTAAGCTTTTGGAAGAGTTGCTCCTTGACATTTGACAATGATGATTCAATACACCGTTTATACTCTCCATCTCCTGATAACTTTTCTGAAGTGAAGGTTCTAGTAGTTTCAATTTAACTAATCTTTTGAATTTCAGGTGAATTATGAGTTTAATACATCAACTGAATCATTGGAAATATTAAATGGCAATGAGCATTTTGTGGCTAATTTATCCTTGTTGTTGACTTGGTCACCATATACATCGGAAGCAGATCTTCTGAAACAAGTCAGTTTCTACATCTTCCCTTTTTATCCATGATAATTGACTGACTTTTTCAGCATATACCAAATGATTGGCATATATAGTCTTCTTTCACCTGTTGTAGAGAATATGTCCTAGTATCATGATAGTTTGTTTTGAGACCTGTTTTTTGTTAGGGTCCTTGGTGAGGTTCTTTGGAAGATTAGGTGAGATAACCAAGTGATGGAATGACAGTCGAAGGAAAAGAATTAGGGAAGAAGAGCAAGAATTCTGTTATTCAATCACAACAGTGAGAAAGAATACAAGTAGATCAGTCACCTTGCAGAATGCAGGGTCCTCTCCCTAACAGCACACCTTTCTGATCTCTTTTCTTATCTATTTATAATATCTATTCTAGCTGCATCTATTCCTTCTGGAATAAACTCTCCACACCTTCCGCTCCCCATTCTCCTCTACTTCGGCTGCGTGCCTAACATTAGGCTTCTCTTTTTTGTCTTTTTTCCTGTTCCCTCAAATCAGGTGTGTCTTGGGACTGCTATAGAATGCCAAGTTGCAACTGTTCTGTTGTTATATGTAAATTTATTTGTTGAGATCATGGTAGTCAAAATCACATTCAAAATTGCAATTATACTTGTGAGATAAGGCTTGGTGGTGGTTGTTTTATGGTAGTCAAAATCACAGTTATACTTGTAAGGTTGTACAATTTTGCAATTTTCTCCTTGCCGGGTGATCCTGATCCTAGGATTTGACGTAGTTTTGTATGATCATTGGGATCACATGATCATACCCGTAAAATTGTGGAATTGTGCAATTCCAGCGTTCTGAAAATGAACCTGATTTTTAAAAAAAAATTAATTTTTTCGTAAAATAACCCGATTGACCCACCTGACATTCTTATGACCTGGTTTATATAACCTAAGACCTGCATGTCTAGGCTATTTTCCTGCAACATTTCTCTCCTTTTCTTTACACTTTCTCCTTCAAATCTTCACGAGTGTGACTGGCTGGGTACTGGGTTCTCTTATGTGCCTCTATTTCTTCAGTGTTGGTTGTTGTTGCACCTGTAAGTTTGAATTGCTCCTGGTTGGTGGTTGCTGTGCCTGTGAGTTCATCTTGCAAATGGGTGCTGGGTGTTTGAATATGAACCCCTCTCTCTCCATTCTCACTTGTATTTTGACTCTGTTTTATTTATTATCATGCATCTTTGTTCTGATTTTTTTTTCTAGTTGCACATTTTGTGGGCCTTTTTTAGGTTTGGCATTTTGTCTACATTTTGCAAGGTGTGGGCTGGGCAGTGTGAATAGCTTAGACATAGGTATTGTAGAAAATGCTTTTCTTTTAATTCTTATCCCACAATAACACGCTGTTCTTTCATCTAACTTTCCCTATGTACCAAAGCTTAAAACTTGTAATGTTTAGCTCTTTAGTTTTTTCTCTAACCCATTTAGTTTCTTGAAGACACATGATGTTTACAACTTCCAAATATTTACTTATCAAAATTACAATATTCCAGGAACTAAAACCGCACTTGTTATGAACTTCACTAGGACCTAGTCCTAGGTCTAGACGCCGAAGAATTCTTCTTTCGACTTATAGTGAATATGAAATTTGGGGAAATAAACTTGTCCTTGATAGAGCCTCTTTTGAAGTAACTAATTTTGAGTATAATTGCTTGTCTTTTATTGAGATTGTCAGTTCCCTTAGAAGACTGTTATACAAAGAAAATAAATCTAAATGATATAGCTAATAAAAGGAAATACATCCTAGATCATAGTAATGATATGATCTTATCTAATAAAAGGAAATGAATCCCAAATTGTGATAAGAATCTTTAATGATATGATCTCAACTAAGAAATGAAACAACTAAACTTCTAATTATGTTTCATTTATTCTTGTTATAATGCTTTTATCGTTTCTGAACTACAAATGCGTCCACATCATCACTACCCTGCCCAACTTTGAGCTTGTCCTTAAGCTCAAATTCTGGATATGCTTCTGATTCACTCATGTCTTACTTTCTTGGAATTCACTCTCATCACCAGGAACTTCTATCCATAACAATCTTCTACATTTGTGTCCAACTGAATAGGATTCATCATAGTTATAGCATAGTCCTTTACCCCTCCTTTTTGCCATTTTCACCTTTGTGATTTGAAAAATGATGTGGAAGAGGCTACTCCATTGCTACTCCCAATTGATTTTGTTGTCTGGCTGCCTTCCTTCATATTAGAACTGGAAGTCTTGTTAGCTGAAAAATGAATATTGCTATTCGTTTTGGTGGTTAGCAAGGTTAGGGTTTCTTGAGAAACCCTTGATTTGTGTTATAATGCTTGAACCATTATCATAGCTATTTTGAGGTTCCTTGGCTGATGCAGCTCAATGTCAATTCTAATCTCTTCTACCAACCTAGTAAAAGAGGTCCACTAGTTGGTGAGGTTTAAGATTAAAAGTTTGCCAGGAGCAATGTTGTCAAGATCGGGATCTTACTTAGGATCGGAAGAGGGGTAAAAAATCGTAAATCGTGAGATCATAAGATCCTTCTAAATGTGTAAAATTATACTTAAAACATATATATAAACAGAGAAAATTACATAGATAAAAAGTTAATGTCTAAATTACCTAATTTAGTTAAATATAAACTTAAAAAGTCTTAGATTTAAGATTCAATATAACACATAATTAGTTAAAATATCCATGCTGAGGTGAGAGAACACATAATAGAAAATAAATAGAAGAACATTCTTTTAAAAATTAAAAAGATCAACAAGTTATCCAACTTATAATACTTTGCAATAAATAATACTAAAGTATTAACTCTAGTTAACAGTGTTTGGATTTATAGTTAAATAGGTGAAACTTAGATGCTTATAATATTTAATAGGTTTTTTTATAAAATATGATATTCATTAATTTTTAAAAAATTATTAGAAAAATTAATTTTATACCATTTTACATATAAGTTAATGTCTTATTACACTATTTTATTTTAATATATAATATAATATATTATTAATAAAGTTGAAAATTAATTTTAATAAAATTATTTTTAGGTAATAAAACTATTAAAATGTTTATTTAAATTAACCTCACTCACAGATTTATATTGAAAGGTGTATTAATAACAAGACATAAAAATTCATCTCTACTGCCAAATGCGAAACAAAACTGAAAACACCCAGAAAATATGAACCACCAATTGAAACAGGCAAACAGCAGCTCAAGAAACACCAAAATAGAAAATGCGAACCACCAACATAGAGAATACCCACGCCCAAGGAACGCGAACACAACGCCTAGAGAATGTAGACGTTGCAAAATCAAAACCCAAATATAGAGAAGATGAGAGATTGGGTGTCGAGAAGTTTTCCAGTGGTAGCACGGTTAAATGTTGACAAAATGAAAGGATGGGTGTCACGGAAGAGAGATTGGGTCACACGCGGACGAGAGAAGAAGAGAGTGGGAAAAAATTTGGGGAAAAATAACCTAGATAGGTTTTTTAAAACCGGGTCAGAAAAACTCGACTTGGAAATCCAACCCCTAGAAGCCCAACCCAGAAATCGACCCAAAAAACATGCGCCTGTGATCGGATCGGATCGCCGATCTTGCGATCCTGAGAGAAAAGATCAGGATCTCATCCGATCTTGCATATTAGCGATCCCAAATCCGATTAAGATCGTGCAAAGGGTTTGAGATCGTAAAATTTAAATTGTGATTTTAACAACATTGGCCAGGAGTGACTATAAGTCACACTGATACTCCTTAAACTATCTAATGGTGATGGTGGTCCAAATTTGACATTACAACACTTCTTAAAACGCTCTCACTCAAGTTTTGTCTCTTACTCAAGTTTCGTCTCTTACACCATCTGATGAGACCATAGTTGCACCTCACTCTAAAGATGAAAAGTGGCTAAGCCTACTTTGCCTACTTCAGTTTTCTTTGATGAAGGAAAGATTTGTCACATCGTTTAAGCCACCTTGAAGGATTGTTAGTGTTGTTAGAAGTATAAAATTCCATTTTGGGTCCATGGGTCCCCCTTATCATGATTCTGATTTGTCCTCTGAATTCCAACTACAATCTCTGAGATTGATCCCTTCTTTGAACCACGAACTGTAATGGAAAGTTTTGCCATTTGCTCCTCTAATGCATATTGTCATGTATCCATTTTGAGGAGCTCGAGTAGCTATGAACTCCAAGTGTTTATATTCCTCTCCACTAATCCATTTTGTTGAAGGGACTTTGAACTGATTCTCTACCTGGAGACGGCCAACCAGTACAAGAAATTTTTTAGGCTCTCTGATGTTAGTGTCCCTTTTGCCAATTGCCCTGCTAAAAAAAAAAATAGTAACATTCACAACTAATTCCCTTCTCTTATTTCTCACCCCTCTTATTAGCATCCCAACCCCCGCTGAAATGAACTTGCCATACTCAAATGATAATACATGGTTTCTTTAGTTATAAATAGCATTAAGGTGGTTGTCATTAGTTCCATGGTTCCATTCCTCAACGGTAGCTTTATTAGGGCAGTGTCACTTCTGATTCACAAGCCTTCTATTTTAATGGTCATGACTTATGAGTGCTCCTTGCATCCTTGATTTGAAATTATTTCTCTGGGTTGAGATGGATAGAGGACCAAACAAACAACGTGGGTAATATGGAGGCATATGCATGATGCCTACAGCACAACTGATGTAGGACACTGGAACCATTGGGGTTTTATAGGTTAGGGGTAGACATTAGAGAATTAGAAAGCTACTCTTTTTGGATAAAGGCAATACAGGTTAAGGTTATATAACATAGTGAAGGGATCAATATGTATCTTGGCTGTTTGGGTGCTGGGAACAGTATGTATAAAACTAGAATGTGAGATAAGGTGGGTATTAGGGAAAATTGAAGCAATAATCACTTGGGGCTGTCACGGGGTGACATTTTACTGATCTCTTCTAAAGAAATCTTTCCTCTGGGCAGTTAAGAAAAATAATGCAAGCATAACTAGGGTTTGATTGCATTCAAACCCAGAATAGAGCAATCTGCTTCCATAATTCATAAGACCAACAACTATGCAAAAGAAACATTACAACCTTATATTACATTTCTGGAAAAACATCCTAATCCTTTGAGGATTGAGACTGCTGCTGCTAAAAAGTATTTGGAAATTTGGACATTGAAATAAAGCCTGTTAACACCTAAATAACATTAACCCTTGCTCAATAAAACCCTAGAGCCCTAGACCATTGTGTAACAACTTAGCAATGCTAATAGCCATGAATAATAGTTACCTAAGATCTATGAAATATTACACCCTACTCCATTACAATTAGTGTCCCATAATACTGAGATAATTTGATCTTTAATTCAGTCTCTCGTTTGTATGTGTGTGGGTGGGTGTTAAATGTGTCATGTATCAGTATGGTTGAGGTTTCTTTTGGTCTTTATAGTAACCTCCTCATATCATATACATCCTTGAGACTTGGAGGGCCTGACCCTATAATCAAGTTACTAATTCTTTCTGTGGATTTTATCTGCTAGCTAACCTGATATTTTTATCATTGTGCTGAGAGGTGATAGGTAATAATCAGTATAGTGTACTAATTTTTTCATAATATTAATTGCTATCTTGATGTGTTGATAGCTTTTTCTTACTCCCTTCAAATATTTTGTCCCTTGCAGTTTGAGGATATTGGACCTCACGGTACTAAAGTTATTATATATAATTTGTGGTGCAATGATGATGGGAATTTGGAATTAGACTTTGATACAGATCCTCAGGTTGTATTTTTTATTTTGATTGGTTTTCCTTTTTTTACTTTACTCTGTTCTGAAATCATGCTTTGTTGCTTATGAGGGGTATCTTCTTATTTGTAGGATATTCGTATTGCGGGGGATATCACAAAGATTGATTCAAAACAGGGCTGGAAGAAAGTCAATGAGGAGCACATTGCTAATCGGTTTCGTTACTCTTTACATGTATGCTTGATTTAGAAAATTATGGTGACTGTAAAAGGTTGAATTTTCTATAGTCTAATATTTTCATGTTTCCAGGTTTATTTGTCCATATTGTACTTGCGTGTACCAGAAAATTTTCAAATTATATTGCGAGGGCAAGTTGTGAAACCACACAATATTGCTGATGATCTTAAGTATCCTGAATATATTTTGTATAAACCACAAGCTGGCAGATCTGTAGAGGTTGTTGTCTAACTTTTGAAATATTTTTAATTATATATCAAGTGACTGAAATTTTTATCTTGTCTATAGAGAAAATTTATGTTCTGCTAGCCATACATAGTTCTCCCACTTTTTTTATTTTATTTGGATTATCCTTGCAGGCAACAGTTGTGACAACAATTGGATTTCTTAAGGAAGCTCCTCATGTCAATATCCATGGTTTCAACCTATATCACAAAAATCGGCTTATACTGGTTATTACCCAAATACTCTAATATTCCTAGTTGGAGGCAATTTTTTTTTTATTATATTATGATTTATTAATTGGTTAATTCTGTTGAAAATTGAAACTTTTGGCCGGGTAAAATTTTATGTTTTGTGTAAAGCAGATACCTTTCCTTTGTTTTCATTTCTAGGGTTGGGAAAGAGGGAGGGGTGGTGGATCAAGTATTCATATGATTGCCAATTTTCCATTTACCTTGCTCAATGTCTAGCATTTTGGGGGAGTATTTGAGCTCCCCAACATGTTTGAAGACTGATTCTGAGTTTGGTTGTTTAAAATAAAATCAAGTTTTCTTCTGAAATTAAGTTTGAGTAGAAGCAAAAGAATGTGATTTTTGCACTGGGGGAGAGAATCTTATACCAAGGCTTTACCAAAACCTTGCTTTTGAAACAAATTAATTCGCTTCCAAGTCAATGTTAATTGAAATCAATTTTACAAAATCAAGATCGTTCAATATCAAGTTTGCAACTGCTTACCCAAGTACATTAGTAAAATGACAAGGAAGGTAGTCTGATATGTTTACCTTTTTAGGCATGGAAAAAGAATGGAATTGATCTCGTGTTATTGCATAATGTGAACTGACTCAGCAAAATTCATCTATTTGATATTGCACTGGATAAATGAATCAATATGTTTCAGCATATCCCTGGTAAAATATTATTATGAAGTACGAACTAGTGTTTGCCATGCACTTGGCAAGGAGAATCTAAATTTAGCTGTATCAATTTAGTTGAATGTTGTTGTCCTTGTGAACATTGATGCGGTACATAATGGTTTTATTCTATGACATATGTAGCTTGTTATAGGAATTTTATTATAATAAAAATTTATTAAATTTATGCTATCAAGAATGGAAAGTTCAGGTTTGTCAAATTGCAGAAATTACTATATTCTATGATTTTTCTCCTCTAGAGAATTCCTTATCCTCTTCATAATTGCCTTCTCTCATTTTGAATAAATTCTTCTAAAAGTTTGCAGAATCAGATATTAATTAAACATTTAAAGTTATTTTTTGTTTATTCTCAGTTGCTTTAACATTTATTTACCATGTAAGTGCATCTATCTTTTCCTCTTCTCTCTAACACTGTTGCTACCTTTTCAATATGCCAGCCATTTTGGCAGGTTGTAAACTATTTGGACAGTAGGGGTAGAGGAGTTGTTGGTGAGTAACAAGTTACTGTGCGATGTTAAGTTCCGTTTCATATTTTAGAGATATACTGGGCCTGCAGACTCTGGATGCCTAACAGCTACTATTGTGTTAGGTATCCTGCAAGCAGATTTTGTTGAGCCAACTCATAACAAACAAGATTTTGAGAGAACTTCCCTGTTTCAAAAACTTGAAGGGCGATTGAAGGAAATGACATGGGAATACTGGTATATCTGTAGTTTTACGATCTCCGTTCTTGTTTGTCCTGTTTTACTTTTTGAAACATGCGCATATTTGGTTTGCATTTTTAAGTAGTAGTGTGCTAAGCAAGATACATGTATTATTTAAAAATATTTTTTGATTTTAAGCATTAATATCTGACATGTCTAGGATTCGTTTTGAATTTCTGCAGGGATTGCCGTTGTACATTAATCGGATATCAAGAAAAGAAGAAGCTTCCTGGTCCATTTACCCCACTGCATCCATCACTCCCGATACCCCCTGGCATAGAAAAACCAGTCATACTGAACAAAAGTTCATCCCCTGTTGACAATAGAAAAGTAGTATATGTAAATTCTGAACCCTCAGCAAACCGGCAAATAAGATCTGAGCATGGTAACTGCTTTTGTGATAAAAAAATATCTTTATTCATTAGCAAAACCAATTTCACCTAACTAATGTTTGTTTATTGTGGTTCAGGTTCTCATAGTAAGAGGAAGACACATGAACTGGTAGACCTTCAGAATATGAAAAAACATGCAAGGGAAGAGAATGTAACTGGTGTTTGTTTCAGTCAGAATAAACAAGTCTGTATAAGTTTCTTGTTCGTTATGTTAAATTTTGTTCGTACATATCATTCCCTGGCATATTTTTCAATGAATGTGTTCTAAATCATTTTAGTTGTTAATTTGCTTAGCAAAGATTCTGTAAATTAACTTTATAATCAAACAATAGTCATTTATTTCTAGTCAAATTTATTTCCAACAGTGACACATTTGCTCCATTTTTTCCTGTTGCCATCATTGTTTGGTTTAGAGATTTATTTTTCTACTATTCTGGAGTAACTACTCATTTAATGATTCTATTAATTTATTTGATTTCCTGGACTTCATATTCTGCCATTGTAGATCATTGAAAGTGTTTTAACGCCACCTTCACCCTTGAATTTTATGTAGACCATTGCAAATCAGGCAGACCAAGTGGTAGACCGAGAGACTACAAACTTGATGCAAGAAAACAAGAAACTGCATGCAAAGTGAGTATTTTACTAATTTGCTGCCACTGATGTTTTTTAATAGTATGGAATGCCGTTCAGCAAGTTGGATTGGCTTCAATCTTGGTCAACTCTTGCTGGCAAACACAAATTATATGCAAGTTTTATTGTTTTTATTTCTCATTTTGATCTTGTCAATATCTACCAAACTCAGTTGTTACCTCCACTTTTGAATTATTCGTATTTGTCCTCTTCTTTTCCCTTCAGGTGTTCAGAATTTGAAAAGACAGAAGAACAACTTAAGGTCAAGGTAATTTGCACGAAGTGATAAAGCTTGGTTAATTACTTTGCATATTCCTATTGCCTAAGTTTTAGAGAGCAGTTTTTGTGCATTTATTGCATATGATAATTATTTGAGTTCCGGGATTGTTGTATGAGGCATTAAAAGTTAATTGCCTTTTTTTTTTTCTCGTTTCTTTATATCTTTGATAACCAAACCTATGAAAGTATTATAACTTCCACTATCCCCAAGACAAAATCCCCAAAAGTAAAACAAAAGAAAAGAAAATAGAAACCAAAACCTTTATTGGAAAATTGCATGGTTAAGGATTTGTATCCCGAAAGTTAGATAACCTTCGATGAGAATCTGTTCTCTTGTGCTTGGTGACCTATTTGAAAGAAATTATTGTGTTGGTACAGGTGATGAATCTTAGAAGTAAAATACAAGAAACTCAACGCGAGTATAATCGGCTTTTGGCTGAATTGAGGTCCCTAGACGTGGACGTGAAAAACGAGTAGCTGTGTAGCTGTAACTCTTGCTCAATTCTTTCGTTTGTAGAAACGATGTTGTATGTATAGCTTAATCACTTGCAGTCTGCGGCTTACCAGGATAAAGGATCATAAGGTCGAAGTCCAAGGTTTTCATTTATCCTATATTTATATGGAAGTGAGCCACAGCTGAGATATTCCTTTTGTACATGTAAAATTCTGTGAATTATGAGCTATAAGAAATTCATCATTTGTTGTCAATATCTATGGCTTTTTTATTGAATTGTTTTATAATGTGCTCGTGTACGTGTTGTGTTCTAACTACCAGCAAAAGCTGGCACAAAGATTACAGGACGATGCCTTTCAAAATGTCTCACGAGTCTGAGGAAAGGAAAATTTTTCAAAGTTACAAAGATCTTTACTAGACTTTCATAGTAGGAGATAAATTATATCTTTTTGAGGAGAAATATACCTGAAAAATCAGTGACATGGACATTTTTTTTTATTAAAATCAAAGAAAACCTCAGGTTTGTATACGATGAGTTATGAACCTGTGAAAATATCTAAGTCTTAAGATTTTGTCAAAGAAATTATTTTTTGACATGTTTTTATAAAGATATTAGAAGAACTTCATTTTTTTGTTAGAAAAAGGGTTATATTTTGAGGAATTTTGAAGGATTGAAAGAGGAGCTTAATTTTTGTAAAAAAAAAAGGATTGTATTTTGAGGATTTTTGATTCTTAAATTGAAAACATCTAGAACTAGTCAAAAAAGAAAATGAAGTTTATAGATTTTTCTTAAAACTTATTAAAATAGAAATTGATAAGAGAAATTATTTTAAGTTTACGAAATATAATGGAACTTACGGATTTTTTCTAAAACTTGTCAAAAAAAGAATTGACAAAAAAAATTCTTTTAAGTTCACGAGACAAAGATGAAGTTCACGAAACAGGAATTTACAAGAAAAATTATTCTAAGTCCAAGAGACAAGACAGAGTGGAGCTTACAAATTTTCCTTAAAATTTGTCGAAATAAAAATTGACAAAAAAATTTATTTTAATTCCAAGAAACAGGGTGAAGCTCAAAAAGTAAAGAGACATATCAAAAGAACTATAAGATTTAAAGCTATTACCAAAGCAGTAGTTACCAGCGGTTACCACCAGTTTAAGGTCAGAAATATGGAGAACCAATAGTAGGCGACAACAGTTATGGAGAAGGCACGATCATGAGCAGTTATGGATAATGAGCGGTAGCGGTTAAAGACAAGTATGTGCAGAAAACTCTTATCAAGAGACCCACAAAAGGAGAAGAGCAGTTGAGATGTATCTGCCTATAAATAATACTAAACTTTACATTACGAAGGACAATTTTTTGCTTCAAACACTACACCTAAAATTATTTGCACGCTGAAATTCTGCATCGAGTCAAATACTAGCTACCAAGAGATTCACAGTTGTTGTTGTTCACTGCGAAAGTCATACGTTACTTTCTGCAATTTGTTTCCAGTTTCCATCTCGTTTGTTTAATTATAATTCTGCAACTTAATTCACGTAAAGTTTGCTTCTGTAATCTTTTTATATTTAGTTTAATTAAGCATTACTTTATTATTCTTCTACTTCTATTTAATTTCTTGCCGCACGCTGTTACTTTTATTATCATATTAATAACACACTTAAAATGAGTCAAAAAAGATCTAAAATTCAGTCCTAGATTATTCTTAAATTTATTTGTTTATTAGTTACAATTTTCACCGTAAACAGTCCCTCAAAGAAAAAAGCTAAATCCATGAACTTTTGTTATCTATTTCAATTTATTTTAAATTGGTATGGTCTTAAAATGTCATGATTTAAATATTTAAACTAAGCTGAGAAGCATAGAGATGATTTGTCCATAAGTAATGTTAGTAACACAGTTTTTAATATTGGATAAATTTTATTAAAAACTAAAAAAAATATTAATTTTACTCTTGTTTACTTTTAAATTAATTTTTTCTCATACTTTTTAGCTTTTAATAAATTTTAACTAATAATAAAGAGTGTGATTAGTATTTTTGTTGTTGTAGATGTATAATTTTTTTATTTAATTTGATTGAAAGAAGTTTTTTTAGAAATAAAATAAAATACAATGTAGTATTTTGGATATATATATATATATATATATATATATATATATTTGTTAAATAACCTTGAAATTTGTCCAATTTTTCTTAATACATGTTGTATAAAGAGTGAGACTACTTCAAATTTATATATAAGTCATTATTTTGTAATGACTTATGCATGAGCACAAGGTGTATTGGGTATTAAACATTTAATATTTATATTACTTATAAATTTTTATAAAATGCAAGTTTGATCAATCCAACTATTTAATTATCTTATTTATTTTCATAAACATGTATATCAAAATTCTAAACATTTGTATATATGTTATTCAAAAATTTAATATTTACTCATATTTTAAAAATATATTATCAGTTAAAATAAAGTAATACAATAAAGTATTTATTAATCTTATTTTTAATATAAAATTTTATGAAGTTAATTCACTCAAAATATATATGCTCTTATGTTTCATTTGAATATGAGTTGAGTTGCATCAAAAAATATGAAAGAGAGTGAACTTAATGGTAAAAGAGTGTTATCCGTTACTAACTAACAATAACCTAAAACTCTGTTATCTAAAACCTTTAATAATAATTACTTTATAATTTATAATTAAAATAATTTTTAAATAATATTGTAAAAAAATACATAAAAATATATTAATATATATTATTCTATTTATAAAAACTAATTTTCATGTAATAATAATAATAATAATAATAAAAGAAAAAAACAAGAATGTGAATTTTATTAAAAAAAAATGAAGTTTGAACACTTAAACTGGATCCTAACACAAACATTAAAAAGAATTGATAAGTATGAAGAGGTGCGTTACTACTGGACCGCTGTGCTATGGGGAGGAACTCATCAAACGCTCGTCAATATAGCAAAAAGTAAAATTCGATTTTCACACGGTCTCTATAAATGTAATTTAATTTTTAAGGTGATTGTAAAATATGTTGATTATGTTGAAATTACATATAACTTTTATTCAATTATAAAGCGAGATTCAATCATATCAGATTTGCATTATTAATGATTTTTGGACGGATAACTATTTCTATCATTTGAATAATTTAATAATATTATTAAATCCCATCTTTTTATTATGATCTCTCTTTTCTTTAATCGTAATTGAAACAAACAAATGGAGCTGCTGATTCACCAAAATACAATTTTTATTTATTAAGCTGAAATACTTTATGCTAAAAATTGCCTAGTCTAAGGCTGAAATGGGATTTCACTAGTCAATCTTCACCCGATGAGTCCAATTAATTAGGGCTTTAGAAACATGGCCGATATCTTATATCCATCGCACATATGGATCCACCCATATAGTTTTTACTTTTACAAAACCTTCAATGAGGTTTATCTAATTAGAGAATCGGAAAGAGTCCACTAGAATGCAGAATATATTTTATTTTTATTGTTGATTGAAAGGGTATACTTTATTAAAAATAAATAAATAATACACCCACTTAGTTTTTATAAAGACTAAAAACTAGATGTTTAATCTAGAAATACAGATGCATGAATTTCGTTATCGTTGATCAAATAACCTACCAATAAAAATAGTTATAATACAGATAATGGAATATACTTTTTGTTCCTTTTCTGGGTCCTTTTCAATTGTCAAATCTATGCCCTTTTGCTTACTAAGAAAAGGTGCCGGCCATAACAATTAGACTTTTTATGCATTTTTCACCAGAAATCCTACCTACGTTAAACTGCCTAACTAGATACAAGTTTTCATACAAATGAAACCTCATTTAACAACAAAGAATTTGGAGGTAGAGAACAAAACAATGTATGCTTCCAGTTTCAAAGAGATTTATGCAAACTTTGGAGAGAACCACACCCCATAAACCTCTTAATAGAAGCAGCTTTTAACACACAACTGGTGTTTTCAAGCTCTCAACAATCGATCTGTGCAAAATATGGCCGTCATGCCCACCATGTATCGCATGCGGATGGAAGTGTTTTGCACTACCAGAAGAAAATAAAATGAAGATAAAAAAAAAAAGAAATCATATATACAAATACACATATTTTCATTTTTCAACACATATAAATAACTAATTGATCCATAGCTAAACGAAGAAGAACCATCACTTAATTTGTTCAACCACTTGTTGGCTAAGAAAATAAAACAAATAAATGTGTGAAGAAAGCAAAGTATCACATGTAGAAGAACTCTGTGAATAAACTTGAAGATGTATCTACAAAGAGAGAACAGAAGCAGAAGATGAGAAGAGAAAGAGAGCTTTTTATAGGGTGTTTCTAGGGCTAAACATTAGAGCCATTGCCACACCCACTTGCCCACTTGCTATGGTAGGGGACTGTGACTACGGGCAACGGGCAGGGTGGTGTCCAGACCGGGCACGTTGGTCGAGCTGCCCGCAGAATAAAAGATATGTGCTACGTTAGGTTGAGTTAATGCCACATTTGTAGAAATATAAAATCAATCTCAAGTCAACCGTGCAAGAACATCGTTTTTAAGTATTTATTTACAAAATAAAAGAAAACTTTTTTACAAAATTTCTCTTGAAAATAAACAAAATAGCGTAGAGATAAAATAAGAGGTTAAAATGTTTTGCAAGGTAAGTGTGTGAATGATAGTGAAAAACACACCCTTTAAAAGGCTTGCTAGCTGTTGATTAAAAAAAATGCATATATGATGATAAAAATCATTAAAATATACATTAAATATTTAAACGAATATGTGTTAAGAATCACAAGGTCAATCAATTAAAGAAATATGCATATTAAATAACAACTAATAAAATGGAAAGCACTGATAAGTAAATATTTGAAATAAACAATATGATTAGAATCAAGTAAAAATGAAATACATAATTAATAATAAATAGAAATTGTTAGATACCAATCCATTTTATTATGCACCGTATAAGTCAACTAAATTAATTGCATTGTTAATTTAGTTAGTGAAAAATATAATTAATAAACAATATGATTAGAATCAAGTAAAGGCAAGAAAAGAGAGCGATTAAGAGCGAACTGTTCTTCAATGTTAAGCTTTCTGAGAGCGATTCAAAAGGAATCACTTTCTTATCTAGGACTTCTTAGAGCAGTTCTAAGATAACATCACTCCAAAGTCCACTTCCGAGAGTGGTCATTCATGAACCACTCTCT